CTCGGGAGGCTGAGGCAGGACGGTCGCCGCGAGGTCTAGGCCAGCCGGAGATACATAGTGAGTTCAAGGCCAGCGAGGACTGCATAGGGAGACCTTGTCTCGCGGAGAGAAACAAACTAAGTGCAAGTCTTCAAGCCTCAGATCCGAGACGGTGTGAGAAAGCGTTTATCGGGCACTTGTTAGGTGCAGGGACCTGCGCTGTGTTGTGAACCCTCGGCCTCCACCGTCTGTGACCTTGACTTGCAGTGAGGGTTCCCGCACTTCAGCGACAGAGGCACCGCACAGGGTGGTCCCTAGCGGGGGACGCTGGCTCCCTGCCCAGGGCTCCTGAGCCAGAGAGCCTGGGTGGGACCTTGGACTCTGCCTTTCTAACAAGCGCTCTCGAGAGGCTGCCCGCCAGCGTCACACTGTGAGAAAGAGGAATCTGCGGGTGTGACCACAGAAAGACATGTTCAAGACTCATCCTTGTGCCACACCGGAAATAACCCAGATGGCAACAGAATGGGGATTTTTTGGTGTTTGTTTTCGTTGTGTTTTGGTGCTGGGGATTGAACCCAGGTCTCCACACGTGCTCACATCCCCAGCCCTTTCTATTTTTTATTTTGAGACAACGTCTCTCTGAGATGCCCAGGCTGGACTCCAACTTGTGATCCTTCTGCCTCAGCCTCCTGAGCAGCTGGGATTACAGGAGCAGCCACCTCCCCTGCCAGAATAGATTTGAGAAGTTGTGGTCTATTTCTGCCCTGGAATACTACACAACATTGAAAAAGAACACAGCATGCATACACATACATGAAGGTATGCCTGAATTTCGTGGTGGTTACATTGAGAGAAAGAAGCCAGGCACAAAAGAGAATCGACTGTATATTTATGTAAAAATCAACAACGGGCAAAGCAATCTTTAGGTATGGGAGGAGGGAGGGTGCACAAGGAAACATAAAGAGCTGGACCTGCTGTTTAAGTAGCTAATTAGCATGGGCCTATGCAGGTATGTTAATCAGCAAACTAAAGGCAAGAGTAGTGCATTGCAGTGTTTTACACCTCTTTACCTCACAATCCAACATTGATGAAACAAAATGGCTTGGTTTTGTTTTGTGGCACTGGGGATTGAACTTGGAGGCTTAGCACCGAGCTACGTCCTCTGACCTTTCAGAATTTTTTTGTTTTTGAGACAGGATCTCACGAAGTAGCCCAGGATGGCCTCACACTTGCAGTGATCCTCCTGCCTCACCCTCCCGAGTGCTGGGATGACAGGCCTGTGCCACCCCGCCAGCTCCCTGGTGTCTTTTTCACCCATCCCTGAGTCACGGTGAGGCTGTATCCGGAGAGCGTTGATGACTTAAGTGTCATACTGGTAGCTGGCTCTGGAGAGTGGAGAGAGCTACGGTACCGCTGGGCTTTGCCTGCGTGTGGCTGCTGTTCCCACACAGCCTCATGGGCTCCCCAAGGTCTGCTCAGGGCTGGGCGGCTTCCGCGTGTGGGGCTAAGCGGACAAGTGTCGTTGCGTAATAGATGAGATGGCACATTTTCATGGAAACCACAGAAAAGATGTGGGAGGAGGAGCTGGGCGTGGTGGTGTCACCTTCGATCCCTGCACTCCAGGAAGCTGAGGCAGGAACATCACAGATTAGAGCAACTCACAGAGCTGAGCTCTATTTCAAAGTAAACCAATTAATTAATTAAAAAGGGCCAGGCACGTAGGTCCGTGTGCAGGTCCTGTGGGCCATCTCTGGTGCCAAGAAAGAGAAAGGGCGTGGGGGAAGGCATGGGGCAGAAGAACCCACGTTTAGTGTCTCTGGACAGTTCGCTGAAATGGCCGGTGTTGCTTTTTTCTCTCTTTGCGGTGATATTTCAGTTATTTTACTTGCAGGAAAATACACATTGTATACATTTACGATCTTCACCAGTTTTAAGTGTACACTCAGTGACACTAATGACAACCACCATCCATCTCCAGAACTCTTTCCATCTTGCAAAACTGAAACCCAGTTTCCCTATTTCCCATAACTATTTTTTACTTTCTGGGGGGGTTTTGTGTGTTTTTGGAGTTTTTTTTGTTTGTATTTATTGTTGCAGTACTGGGGATTGAATCCAGGGCCTTCACAATGAACTCTCCTCAGCCCTTTTTAAACTTTGAGCCAGGGTCTCACTAAGTTGTTAAATTGCTTAGGCTGGGCTCAAACTTGTGATCCTCCTGCCTTAGCCTCCCAAGTGCTGAGAATTACAAGAGTCCACCACCATACCTATGTGTTTTTTTATTGTTTTGTTTGTTGGTCTGTTAGTTAATTTTTGTTGTTTTAGCTAAATTTTAAAGACTGGGTCTTGCTACATTGTCCAGGCTGGCCTCAAACTCCTGGGCTCAATTGATCCTCCTCCCTCAGCCTCTTGAGGTGCTGGGACTGTGTGTGGGCTCCACTGTGTCCATTTACTTTTTGTCTGTATGATTCTAGGCACTTCCTGAAGTGGAATCATAACGACGGTTATTATGTGACAGACTTACTGCATCCAGCATGATGTCCTCAAGCTGACGCATGCTGTGGCACACGTCAGAATTTCCTTCCTTTTTAAGGCCCTGTAATTCACCCGGGTGTGCACCCCGTGTCATGTTGGTCCATTCAGCACGTGGTGGATACCAGGTTGCTTCCACTTTTTGGCTATTGTGAACATGGGTGTGCAGACATCTCTGGAGGGCCGGGGATGTAGGTCATGGCACCACGTCTGCCTGGCAAGTGCAAGGACCTGAGTTTGATTCCTGGTACCCCCCCCATAAAAACCTCCTGGAGTCTCTTTTTTAACTAATTCATTCATTTACTTATTTTCAGTTCTGAGGATTGTTTTTTTTTTTTTTTTTTGAGATAGGGTCTCGTGATGTACTGCACTATGGCCTTGAACACACTGTGTGGCCCAAGCTGGCCTCAGTCTCGCAGAGATCCTCCTGCCTCAGCTTCCTGAGCCTCCCCACCTCCCCAGTGCTGGGATTGCCTGGCACCTCCTCCTTTTTTTTTTTTTTTTTTCTTCCCTTTGATTGTGCCATTACCTCACGGCCTGCACCCTGGGGACCCTGGAGCCAAGCTCTCAGGCCTGGGATTTGCAGGCTGTGGGCCCACCCTGGGAAGCTGTGTCAGTGGTGTCTTCTCTTCCAGGTGGACCTGGGGCCGGACAAGATGGTCGTGGACCTCACGGATCCCAACCGGCCGCGCTTCACCCTGCAGGAGCTGAAGGAGGTGCTGCAGGAGCGCAACTCGCTGAAGGCCCAGCTGCTGCTGGCGCAGGAGGAGCTGCGCTGCTACCAGAGGTGGGCGGGATGGGGTGGGGGGGCAAGGCCGCAGTCAGTCGAGCAGTCGACGATCAAGAAGCAGGTGTGTAGGGGGTGCTGGGTCGCTTGTTCTTTGGTTTTGTTGAGTTCATTTCCTGAGGCCTACTACGTTCTGAGCACTGTCCAAGCATCTAGGGCATAGCAGTGAATAAAACAGAAAGTAAAGGTCTACGCCCACGGAGTGCAGAGACGGCTGTCAAGGTGGATGCCAGGGAGCCAACAGGGCTGCGTCATCCCAGCACCCTGCAAGGCTGAGGCAGGAGCATCACGAGTTTGAGCCCAGCGTGGGCAATCTAACGACTAGTGAGATCCGCCTGAGAATAGAAATGGGCTGGGAGTGTACCTCAGTGTGAGGACCCTGGGTTCAGTTCTGGGTACTACAAACAAAGAAAAAGTGGAGTTTCTTGCTGTGGCTGGCCCTGGGACTTGCTGTGGCCTTAACGCTTCCTTTCCTGTGTCCTTGGCTGCCACTGAGGTCACCGTGCTGGAGGAAGGGTGGGAGGTGACCACCAGCTGAGGAGAACTGGAACCGGCCCGAGGAAGGAGAGTTCTCTGCTGCTGAGCTTCATCTGTGCCGCAACAGGGAAGAAAATAGGGAATTTTGAAGGGAATTTACCTCAGTGGTGCTGCCACCTGCCTCGCAAGCACAAGTTCCTGAGTTCTATCCCCAGTACTGAAGAAAAGAAAAAAATAGGGAATTTGTATTTACTTATTTTGGGAATAGGGGATTGAACACAAGGTTTCCTGTATGTACACTCCTGACCTTCTGCTGGGCCACACCCCCAGCCTTTTTTAGTTTTTATTTTGAGACCAGGTCTTGCTAAATTGGCCAAGCTGGCCTTGTACTTGCAATTCTCCCACCTCACCCTCCTGAGCTTGGCTTACAGTCCTGGGCCACCATGCCCAGCAGACACCATATAGTATCTCATTTAATCCCCAGCCTTAGGAGGTAGCTACTGTTATCCTCACTGTGTGGGGTGGGAATACCAGGCTTACACATTAGAGAATTTATACATAGTCACATACCAAGGAAGTGGAGAGCTTGGATTTCTAGCCAGTTCCGTTAGACAGGAAGAAGAGGCATCCATGTCGGAATTCTTGGCATGGGAATCCCTCTGACTCTGCTACTTAGATCATAATAACTACTAAAAGCCTGCACTTCCGGAGTGGGGCAGATAGGAGTCCTGCAGGACAACAACACCCTTATTTCCCTCCTTCCCCAGTGGACTGATTCCCCCAAGAGAAGGCTCAGGAGCAAGACGAGAGAAAGCAGCTGTGGTTCCAAGGCCCAGAGGTGCCGAGCACGGCAAAGGGGAGCGGACGATCATGAAGAAGCTGTGAGTCACCTTGCTGTCCCTGCTTCTGCTGCACAAGGGCTGGGGAGCAGTCGGGGCTCAGGGAGGCTGGCGGGGCAGAGAGGCCTCCTCTCCCGCGGCCAGTGTGGTGGGTCTCACTAGATAGCCCAGGCTGGCCTCAAACTCACAGGGATCCTCCTGCCTCGGCCTCCTGAGTGCTGGGGTGGCAGGAGTGCGCCACCACTCCTGGCTGTGGTCCAGAAATATTAAATGGAAAATTCCAGAGGTATAAATAATCCTTCAGTTTTAAGTTGCATGCTGGGTTCTGAATAGGGGCGTGACTTGTGCCTCTTACTCTGCTACCCTGGGGTGCCAGTCACCCTCTGTCCCTCGCACACACTCGGGTTTAGTGGCCAGGTCCATCACCAGATGGACTATGCTGTATGGCTGGGTTCATGCTGAAATAATTGTTTCTTCTCTGTCTCTCTCATTCTGGTTTTTGAGACAGGGTCTCGCTGTGTAGCTCAGGCTGGCCTGGAACTTACAGGGATCCTCCTGCCTCAATAATTATTGGCCTTTAAGGGGGGTTGTTCCTTTAGTACTGAGGATTGAACCCAGGGCCTCTGCACCAAGCTATATCCCCAGCCCTTTTTAAAATTACTTTGATCCAGGGTCCCGTTAAGTCACTAAGTTGTCCACACTGGGCTTGAACTTGTGATCTTCCTGCCTCAGCCTCCCGTGGTGCTGGGATTACAGGTGTGTGCCATCATGCCAGGCTCTAGAGGTCTTCTTTTGTCATTTCTTTGGAATTCAAGCCCAACATGACCAGTGAAATGGCCTGTGCCTGGGGCAGGCTGAGGGTGTGTGTGGGAGGGACTGGATGGAGGCCTGGCCTGAGGCGGTTTGCTCTCTGGATTAGCTTTGGGGGTCAAGAGCGCATCTGGGGTATGAGGAGGAAATTGACGACTGGGCTTCCTGGTGTGAATGGCTTGGGGAGCATTCCCTCCTGGGAACAAGCGACAGGGAAGAGGTGTGCATCTGGGTCTAGGGAACAGTAGCCAGCATGTCTCCAACATCTGGATCTCAAACCTGGGACAGGCTGCCAGGGACAGAACACCGGACCTGTGCCCTGAGCTACATCCCTGGCCCTTTTTTATTTTCTTGAAATAGATTGCTGCCCAGGCTGGACTAGAACTTGTGATCCTCCTGCCTCAGCCTCCCAGAATGCTGGGATTACAATCATGTGCCACCACCGCAACCAGCTGTTTCAAAATTGTAGATATCACTGAAGGTTATCTTTTTCTCTACTATAAATTCTTCTAAAATTAAAAAGCCAAAACAAAACCGGTGTTGGACACTGTCAGTACACCACAGTGACAAAGTGTGGCTGTAGACCCGACTCCTGGTCACGCAGCTCACTGTTGGACCTCGGGCTGTTCCTTAACCTCACAGGTTCCCAGTTTGCTCATTTATTAAACATGACTCAGCCAGTTGTGATTGTGTGCACCTGTAATCCTAGCTACTAGGAGTCTGAGGCAGGAGGATGGCAAGTTCTAGGACAGCCTGGATAATTATCAAAACACTTTCTCAAAATAAAAAATAAAACAGGTCTCGGAGATTTAGCTCAGTGGTTCCACCGCCTGCCTCACAAGCTCAAGGACCCGAGTTCGATCCCCAGTACCAAAAAAACAGGTCTATGGGTGTCCCTTAGTGGTAGAGCACTGGGCTAACGTACATGAGCCCCTGGGTTGATCCCCTAGGACCCCAGAGGAATGAAAAGCAATGGTAGTGACAACCACAGGATTGTCATCAGTGTAAAACACCTAGAACCTCGCCTGTCCCCTAAGAGGCTGTGAATAACAGGAAGGAAACCAAGAGATGGGAGAGAGGAGGAGGAAGGGACATGTGTTGTTTATGTGCCAACTCCCTGTGATGAATGTGATCATTATGCACTGCAAACATGGACCGCTACAAATACAAAGTTTAAAAAAATATATTTTTGGCCGGGGATTTGGCTCAGTGGTTCTCCCACCTGCCTTGCAAGTACAAGGGCCGGAGTTCTATCCCAGGTACAAAAACAAAAAAAAAGTTTGGTGCCTGGTGTGGTGGCACACACCTGCAATCCCAGCACTTGGGAGGCTGAGGCAGGAGGATTGCCGTGAGTTTGAGGCCAGCCCGGGCTATATGGTGAGACCCTGTCTTGAAAAAGAAAGAAAAAAAAAAAAAAAAATTTGGGA